ATGTGAACGCCACAAAGTTCGGGTAGTTATAGAGAACAATTGCATAGATTCCAGAGCGTATATCTTATTACGTATGAACATTTCCAGCACATTCTAGGATGATATTCGTAGGGTCCGTAATTCTTGGATCTTTGATTCTCTCCAAAAGAAAGTTTACTTAAATGTATTTCTGATGGAATAAACACAGGCAAGTATGTTAGATACAAATTACACATTTGCCTAAATATTCCAGCCCATTTCATTGCATTGCATGATAGCATTATTCCATAATATTATAAGTATCTTTCAAAAAAATCTCACAAATATATAAAACTTTTATTCCATTTACCATTCCTTCTATCAATTGATTTTATTCCATGTATATCGTCCAAATAATTCCATAAGCTTTTAAAAAGGCCGTCTACAAGGAGTAAACGTGGAATGATTATCACTTTCGAAAAACACCCCACCTTCTGTTGAATGTCAATGTGACATTGATTATATTGGATTGTCATAACGACTATTATAATTCTTTGAAGGCCGCAAAAAAGTGCGAAAACAAATTATTTATGAAGCACAAATGGCAATAATGCCTGATGATGCCCCGGTTGCAGTGGGAAAAAATCCACTCTTAACAATGCAAAATCTTAAACAGAAGGGATGTAGTTTTATCTTCTAGCAACACGCTTTCCGCCCTCTTTGGCTCATGCTTTTTGAAGAAATACGAAGATGTGCAAACGGTATAAAAACACCGATTATAATGATCATTATTGGAAAATTTGTCAGAAAAATTCCTAATGATGATTTAATTTATAATTATCACATGAGTATCCCATCCCTACATTGAAGAACTACATTTGAAAACCACTTTTGTACCGTAAGTAATACGTATTTCAAAGGATGGTTTCCTGTATTTATTTATCGTGTTACAAAATTTGTACAGTAAGAGATATATTTATTTACCCTGTTACAACATTTGTACAGAAAGATATATATTTATTTACCCTGTTAAAACATTTGTACAGTATTAAATATTTATTTACTAGATAGTCAGAGCCTAAGAAGAAATCTATTTTATTTTTTTGAAAGTTAATTACTATAACCTTTCTTGACAATCGTTGTTTTTCATTGCGAAAAATGACGAAAGGTCATGAAATAGATCTATTAAATACGAATGTGACTCTGCGTTATATTTTATATTGCTTATTTCTGTACTGTTTGTGCTTATGGTGTTATGGTGTCAGAAATATGATGCAGTTTAAAAAATAAAATGGCAACGTTTTTTTTAGCTACGTTAGTTTCAAATGTTGATTAGTTTGTAATAAAAGCAGTATAAACTAAATAAATGTCATTACAGTAATGTATGTTTTTCTCTTTAATGAGATCATATAATATGTTATTGTATAATTCACAGGAGACGCATCCTTTATGGATATGAAAGACTACTCTTTTAAGGCAAGAAAAAAATTAACGTTTACGCGGAACAAACTGGGCCGATAAGGAGAGCGGCCGAGGATATATCCCGGGGGCCCCGGCCGAACAACAGTTTTTAATTTTATTAAAGACAAATTTTGATTGAACAAGAACTAGGACAGAACCGGGTGTTTCTTACCCCAGGGCCAATGATCGCTTTCTACGGCCCTGGCAAAAGTTATATAGTTCCGGGGTTCATCTTAGCCCACAAGGGGCCTAGCCCATAAGTGATGGATTTAACTCATAAACCCATATACATACACTTGCTGTGTATGAAAACACAAATGTACATGCCCAGCCGCCATTTTGCCCTGATGCAGACGTTTCGTCATGAGCTTCTCGACTATCGTAAACGTTGAAAGGATATCAAAGCAGAAAAGCTCAGAGGTAGTTATTTTACATATAATTTTGTCATTATCCTTGTTTCTTAATTGATTTTCGTTGCATCAGTCGTATCTTTGCCAAAGTAGTTTCCTTTTCGTACAATACATCCATGGACAACTTTGATGGAGCGATATCAATTTGTCACCAAATAGAAATTTATAAGAAACTGCCAAGCTCCCAGATTGGTTTATGATTCTGCTTGTTGCTGAGAACAAAATTGAATTACAACGCATTCGGTGATTTTTAGCAAGGGTTTTGATTACTGCTTCAATTTTAATGCATGCAAGAGATAATATTTGCTACCAAAACGTATCAATAATTTTCTAAAAGTTTAAAAAGGTTTTGTTCCTGTAGTAGACATTTTCTGTTTCATTCTACTTGAGGTCAACATTCAGTGGATATGTCAACTAACAAGAAAATTTCATATCGACTGAGAAGAAGTTTAGATTAAATGTTAAATAGCCCTTTATAAAAGAGCCAAATTTCAAGACGTATTCACTTTCAAAGCAAAAAACTTATAAAAGAGACTTTGCCTTCAAAATTGTTGGGATGTATGTAATTGATATTTGTACATCACGCTTCCATTTTGAATTCACAGGCAGAAAATTATCTGTGCTTTACTGATGAAGAATAACTCCTTGTGAGCTAAAAGAATGTGTACGAAGAAATATTTATTTTATTACAGTGAGACAATAACGACGGAGATTGTCACGTTTGAACTTCTGATTATTCGCAAATAGTAAAAAGACATATCAATCATATTTGACCCCCAAAGACTTACATATAATTTTGTCTGGAAATGTAATGGTATATACCAATTGGAAGATATGAATTCCCATGATATTTATTCCAGATCGTAAAATCCAATGTTTAGTAGATAAATATGAACTTCTCGATTCTCAGCAAAGACAAGAGAGAAACTAATACCCAGCACTCTGGGAGGCAGTCGCTGAAAAAATCTAATATGCATTGTACAGAAATATCTATACTGCATCCAAATCAGACAAATGCAAATGATAACTGAAAATTTTACGATAGACTGGAAAGGGCTCACACACATACACACACACACACTACTTACATTAGGTTAATTACTCTTGTAAATCAACATACATTAGGAGGTCCACCTCAGACAAAGCATTTACACGCTTCCTTTACAGTGGATTTTATTTGATTTTACACAATTACATGTCCTCTAGGTCTAGAGTTTTTGAAAGACAACATTTGTTTTACTGTGTTTTCTATATATATTCTGGGGATGACACACGTGTAAAAATTGCATACACTATAGAGACTCATGTGTACACACCTGTAGTACTGGGAGTATATTGCAGTCTTATCTCCTCCTTGTCCAAGAAAAAATTGAGGGTTATGTTTGCTTCGTAAGTTTCCTCTTATATTTGATGTAGAACCAGATGCAACAAATATATAACTGTATACGTCTTTTTGCTGTATTTGTTTAACTTTATTAAACATCTACTGATGGCTATAAATAACCCAATAGTCTTTAAATACGTTTTTTTATTAATTCTAGGAGACTATTAATCAATTTAAAGTTTTTATGGGTGCAAGTGAGACAGCAAAATTATGCAATTTCACAAAAATATATTGTGTTAGCAGTAGCGTATTTTCAAATTGTCGAACTCTGTCAATCTACTTTACATTACTGAGAGAGGTGAGGCTACAAGAATCGTGACCAATACAATAAATTTAGCAGCTACTGAAGCTTTACGTCGAGAAAACTAATATTGGAAAGTCATGGACACAGAATACAAAAATACCAACCTAATTTCTATGGAAAATGACAGCTGGTTCTAGCCATCCATTGCTCATAAGTATATTTGATTACTCCGGTCACATAGCTTATGATATTTAAATAGCTTCCAATCCATACAAGCTGGAAGAAGCTTTTACAGCTCATGTCTTCCTTCGGTCGTACGAGAACAAAAAACATTATCTATTAAAATGCGACTCCAGTAATAAAAATGTCATTAAGCAATCGTTACAATCACGTTCCCAGGCGCTGTTATTGGGTAGATGGAAATATCTTTTTAATATTTTTCTTCTCAACATAGAACCAACAACTGCATAACGATTAATCAACACTCAATTGAGCAAACGATAAATAGATCGCATCTATATTGATGTGGAGTTGAAGAAAATAAAGAACACATTTTTTCTTGGGAGTATTACCAAAAACAATGCAATATAATTTATATGGTAATTTAGCTTTATATACCGTTCATTTGAGGATATAAATTTCCCGTATGAATTGGAAGTCGTGTTTTAATGATAATCAGAAATTAATTCTTGCTGCATAATAACGCAACTCAGTCTTAGACAATCTGCCTCTGTTGTGGTATATTCTGACAGTATAAATCTTTTATAGAAGGATAAAATGGCTGTGTTTGATTTGGTATCTATAAGGCAGAATTGAAATTCATATCTCAATATATATATATATATATATATATATATATATATATATATATATATATATATATATATATATATATATATATATATATATATATATATATATATATATATATATATATATGTGTGTGTGTGTGTGTGTGTTTGTGTTTGTGTATTAGGTATATATATTCATTTCTTATGTGTATAAAGCATGCTTGACAATGATTTATAATATAACTTTATTAATAATTAACTCAGGATATATAACTTTCTCATTTTAAGAAGAGTATGGTTTTTAAGTAGCTATCACAAGTATTATTTTGGCGAGTCTTTGTTGATTTTCTGTTGTGAGTTAGATTGAACTGGAACACACTCAGATATCGTTTTATTGAGCTGTCTTCATCGGGTTTCACCACCAACGGTTCATTTTTTATGTGTGAACATGTGTATTTATTATGCAAGAAAAAGATCGTACTGTTTTTAGTTATACAAGCATTTATGTGGGCTTTAATTATACCTTCTGTGTACCACACAAGATCATCTTAATTAAAAATTTGCATGTGCGCTCGTTCTGTACTGGCAATGTTACCCTGGATACCAATCATTAAACTGTTCCAATGTTCTCATTGAGGAATCATATCCAGACACGAGATTCAGAGAGATGTTACTGATTTAAATTTACGAGTTGGCTTGTGGTGTAGACATTATCTTACACGAGATGGTACTAATTTAAATGTACATGTTGTTACCTCTCTGGTGGGCTAGTGGTTAGAGCGTCCGCCTCGGATGCGGGTGGTTTTGGGTTAGAACCCTCACCGGGTCATAAAAAAGACTTTTTAAAAAATGGTACTAACACCTGCCTCGCTTGACGCTCAGCATTAAGAGTTTAGTATTAGGACTGGTCGGCCTGGTGTCAGGATAATGTGACTTGGTGAGACATCATGCCTCATGTCTACTGCATGAAGCCCCAGTGCTAGACATCACAATCAACTGTCACACTGCAGACATCGTAGCGATATGATTGAACATATTTTTAAAGCTAATTTAAAAATCTAAATCTAAATCGCACACACTCACACTCAGTACGATATCTTTAATATATGTGTTAATTTTTCATGATTAATGATTGAAAGGGTCATTTAGCAAATACTATATTAAATGCTAAATTTCTTTATAGTTGTCCATTTATGCTTTATGATCATGTCATTTTAGTAGACGCATTACGTAGGTTTAGGAGAGTAGTAAACTTTTAGTAGACGCATTACGTAGGTTTAGGATAGTAGTAAACTTTTAGTAGACGCATTACGTAGGTTTAGGACAGTAGCAAACTTTTAGTAGACGCATTACGTAGGTTTAGGACAGTAGTAAACTTTTAGTAGACGCATTACGTAGGTTTAGGACTGTAGTAAACTTTTAGTAGACGCATTACATAGGTTTAGGACAGTAGCAAACTTTTAGTAGACGCATTACGTAGGTTTAGGACAGTAGCAAACTTTTAGTAGACGCATTACGTAGGTTTAGGACAGTAACAAACTTTTAGTAGACGCATTACGTAGGTTTATGACAGTAGCAAACCTGTTGATTTGATGCGTTCAGGCCATCAGTTTTCTTAAAAAGAAAAACAAGAAATACCTAATTCATAATTGGCTAGCGGATAATGTATGTACTTGATCTTATTGACAAAAATCGATTTGGAAATGATTATTGACCCTCATTCTGCACCTTAAAATGTCTCTTTGTTTTTCTATATAAGGCATGATTTAATGAAAATTAATTATTTCTAGTTATTTCTAGCAGAAACATCAGTCTTAGACTAGACAAATAGTTGTGTTCAAAGGATACTTACGAACTCTCAACCAATATGAGTAAATTAGTAATTTTTGACCAATCAAAACACGGCTTTAATTCACTACGAAGTTACGAGCTGATATGCATCACATTGGGTCACATACAAAAAGCAACGCTTAATCTCGGTCTTCTTATATTGCCGAGGAAATGGAAAGATTACTCTTAAAAATCACTTCGGCACATGCGACGCAGATTGTTGTTATCATAAATGGATTCAAGCGTGATTTATGTTTTTAATTTTCCTAAATCAAACTTTAAAATAGAAAAAAGTATGCGTTGGAAGTGGTACGTTATGTATTATTATATTTCGTATATAAATACAAACCCATTTTAATTAATGACGTTATTTATTGTGCTTATGAAAATATTAAATACAATTTTTTGTTAATTGTATGCTTATGTTCGAATCGTATATGATACTTGAGACATAATATTACATGCAGTAAAGAAAGTTTGTTCATGCGTGTTGTCAAGTTTTGTCCTTCTATTAGCTCTTATTTTAGGCTTGAAATTATAAACAAGATCAATATGTCTTGCCATTTAATTCAGTTTATGCCATTCTCATTCAAACAAAACTGATCTTTTACAAATGACTGATTTTATAACACTTGCAAAAATGTTGCAACATCCATGAAGTAAGATAATACACTAATTAGCAAACAAATGTAACAACGGATACATACATATACATGCATGCATGCATAGAACTTGGGGATCAAAATACCCTGAAAACCATAAGTGTTACAAGTGGCTGACCTCGATCGCCGTGACTTAGTAACAATATTCAAATTGACCTAATACATGATACAATTGGTAAGTATGGGTGCAGGATTCGGAGATTTTATTAAATAAAGTACGAGAAAATTATCTGACAACACGAAATCACTTTATCGGTACTATACATTAACCCTGAGCAAGACGGGGACATTAACATTCAAATAACGGATAGTAACTGTAGCACTATAATTCCAAAATGGTACCGGACATTAATGGTGACTGAAAATTATCCGAAATTTTCATCTAAAAAACTAGGTAAAGACTAAAAATAGAACTACAATTCCGAAACTATGCCAGACTATAATGTCGACTGAAAAATATGTAATATTTAATATAGGCACAACTAAAAGTAGTAGTAAAAGTATTATAGATATGTCCCAGACTCTACTGGAGACAGAAAATCGAGAACATTAATATGCAAATAGTTTAGGTTATAAGTAGGACCAATATTCCGAATTTTACTGGACTTTAGTTAAGACTGAAAATTATCCGGAATGTTTATGAAAATAATTTGCTATGAATAAAAGTAGTACTTACAATCCAAAACTCATACTGACTTTGGCAGAAAGAGACAAATAACCGGTATGAATTTAAATATGGTAGATTATTACTACAATTTCAAATTTATATAGAATTTAGTATTGATTAAATATGAATTTTCCATTAGATATAAAAGGTTCAAAATATCTTTTACAAAGTGTCAAAAATGTAAAAGTGCAAAATTTTCACGTTAGGCTTTCTCACGTATAAAATGCATTTGGTATTCTTTTAATCTAACACCTACAATCAGCAGAAATGCGTAGTGTCTAAACAAAGGGACTAAATCTCACCAACATACTATCCGTAACATCACCTATTCACCCAATACCCCATGCACGCTATATACTATCAAACACCCTATACGTAAAAAATACCCAATACACAGCCAAAAACACCCGGACTAGTATCTTAAATCCAACATCTATTAGAATAAATCCGTGGTATGTGATAAATGAAGGACTAAATATAGCAAACATACTATCACATCACCTATACCATCCTTGACTCCTTATACACTATTCAAAATATCTTGTGCAGTTTCCCCACACTTACGATCAGAATAAACTCGTAGCGATTCAAGAAAGAAGATAAAATCGTACAAAATAGACTATCTCTACCACACCACCTACACTACTCAATACCCATAAACATTATCCAAAATCCATTTTCCAGATTATGATTGATTATATATGTCCGTGTGTTTATGTCACAGTATATAAAACTCAAGACAAAGAGACACTTTCTTTTTCTGTAATATTCCCTTTTCGAATCACAATGAAAACTTCCCAACGCGTCACAAAACACATGATTTCACGATTGTCTAGATGCTTGTATCTGCCAAGATTCGGATGGTTCAAATTGACCTCACAGCCGGTATTATTTTTGCCAGAAATCTACTTAAGCGAGTGTTATGTTATCCACAAAGCCGAAGTCATGATGCATTCACAGTCCTTGAGAACGTTAAAGAATTAAAACCACAGATGCATTACCAAAACAAGTGAACGTTGGGACAGAAGGAACGGCGATAAAACGTTCTGGAAAAATGTCTCATAGCATCGCTTTTCCTAAGAGAAATTGATATATTTGAAGTCATGACTGGAAAGGAATAGAAAACGCATTCAAGACGAAGGGGCAGGTGTATCAAATGACTGTCGTTCTAAGAAAAAAAATCAATGACAATGTTACAAGACAGTTGTCCATTCTCCGAAAGAACAACTCCTGACATACTGATACTCACGTGTAGGATGAAAACATGCCTGCTAAATTATCGTCTGGCGTTTTATCTGCTGTAGAAGGCAAATATCAACTTTGAGAGAGAGAGAGAGAGAGAGAGAGAGAGAGAGAGAGAGAGAGAGAGAGAGAGAGAGAGAGAGAGAGAGAGAGAGAGAGAGAGAGAGAGAAAGAGAGAGGGCCTTTATTGTCTCATGTTGAGTATTCAGTAGAAGAGGGAACACACCTATTTGATCTCCATCAGTAATATAAAATTCGACTGAAAGAGATCGAGCAAGATATTGCTTCTAAAATATGGGTTTGCAGGAGCAGCAGATTGCATGAATACCATTCTTGTTTTTTTATATAACATGTAGCAGATGTCTTTGATGTACATAATATAAATTAAAAGCTCTCATGTTTGCAAAAGATTTGCAGAGAATGGATGTTAAAACTAGGGAACGTCATATTTCTTGGAAGCTTTCCCAATAACTTTTAACAAAGCATGCAAGTTGCCCAGTGCTACGTTTGCTAAGCCCAGCTATAAAGTTATGTATAAGCTACAATCTACCTGTCTTCAGAATATTACCGCATCCATGTATTTGATGTAAAATGATTGCCGCGGGGTTAGTGTTGAACTCGTAAGCAAGATTACCGAGACCAGCCGGAAACCTAAATCTTGAATCAGCAAAAGGAGACAGATTGCACGACTTATGTGTTAAATAACCTTTCAAGGATCAAAAGGAAGTTCAAGGGGTGAACGGGGCGTGTTCCTATCCATCCCCACGTTGACAGACAGCGAGAGGGACCCTGACCGCTAACTTTAATTGGATCGATTTACAGTGATATCCAATCAAAATTGAGATAGAAGACGTGATTACTATTCAGACCCGAATGATACCCTCCGAACTCGTAAGAGAAATTTATTATTTGCCTGGAAGGATTGCAGATATAAAGCATTTACTCCGAGAAAGAAACCACTCGTAATCTGGCGGCAAAACACAGACATAGACGGTAAGGAAAGGCAAAGCTTCGAAAAGAGATTTTCAGATTCCATTTGGTCCCTAGTCTTGAAGAGTTGGAGATGGAATTGAGACTATAGCTGAGACGGTCTTATTCGACAGAAGAGTAGGCGTTGTAGAGAAAGTGGAGGAGGATAAGAAGCCTGCATAAAGTCGAGGAGGAGGAGGTTGAATTTGGGGAAAAAAAGTCGAGGAAGAAGAGGAAAAGGGATTGACATAAACAGTAGAGAGAAAGGATAACCAGATAAGTAAAAATACACTAACAGGTGGAAATCAATCTCACACTGCTAATCAAGTGATGCATTAGGCTTAATAAAGGGTCTAGCGGATGGAGTGTAATTGTAAATTTAAGTCATTTGATTATTGAATTATTTTTCAATTGCTATTCATTGAATTTCAACCTTTCTTAAATATTTTTTATTAATTA